GCAAGAACAACTTCCCGGGAGGGAATTGTTTTCGTGGCCAGACCCAACGGACCACGATCAACGCCGTCCATACACCCGACCGCCCTCCTAAGGGACCGTGTTACCGGTGTGGGAAGACGGGTCACTACATGAGCAACTGCCCCGAGAAAACGCCGGTGAAAGGAGATGACAGGAAGGACCAGGGAAATGGGATGAGTCTGCAAATAACGGGCCCTTTACTAGCTGTGCTCCGTTGCCCAAACACCACCATCCCCACCGAGTCGTGGTTCCGATTCATGCAATCGATCGCACTCGGCCGAATAACGGGGATAATCATGTTTATCACCCTGTGCTGGTCGCAGGCAAGGTGTTAAACATAATTAAAAAATGTTCGTCGATGGAGGGGCCAGCCATAGCCTCTTCAACTTGGCGACAGCAAAAAAATGCAAGCTGCAACCGGACAGGTGTCTGCCTGAAATCGACGCTCGCCTTGTGGATGTGACGCCTCTGGCAATTTTGGAAGAAACACGGACCGTGCAGATCGAATGCGGCGACGATTTCGGCTTCAGCATGAAGTTTTCTTGCGGCGACGCTGGATGGCTGCGATGTGCTGCTGGGAGGTAATTAGCTGCGACGGCACAACCCCGTCATCGACTGGACAACGGGATCGTGCAGCATCAGCAAGCACGAGGGGCTAATCAAATTGCCTGCATGGACACCTGACTACATCCAAGCCCCGCGCGCCAAAAATATCACTATAGTTCGCCACTTCAACCGAGGCGCGCAGCTGTTCGCCGTTTATTTACGCGAGTTGGCAGTTGACACCGAAGGAAATGACATCGAGAAGCTGTGCGCAGCTGTATCGCCGAATTTAGCGGAGCTGATTCGACGGTACCCCGATATCTTCCCCGACGATCTGTCACCAGGCCTGCCCCCCGAGAGACCCGAGGACCACACAAGCCAGCTCAAACCTGGCGCGCCACCGACTGTTCGGACACAGTGGCGGTTGACCCAACCGGAACTCGAGGAACTGCGAAGACAAATTGAAGCACTGTTGGAGAGGGTTTATTCGACCCATTACGACGCCCTTCACAACACCAATCCTGTTCACCCTGAAGAAAGACGGTGGGCTTCGCTTGTGCATCGACTATCGTGCGCTCAACCGGGTGACAATAAGGTCTCGCTATCCAATCCCACGCACCGACGACCTTCTTCGCGGCGCTCGTTACTTCTCGAAGATTGACTTGCGTGGTGGTTACCACCAGATTCGAGTCTTCGCCGACGAAGAAGATTGACTTGCGTGGTAGACTGCATTTCGCACCCACTACGGGAGTTACAAATTCACGGTGATGCCATTCGGCCTCACAAACACGCCTTCGACTTTTCAGTTGACCATGAACATGGTTTTTTGGGATCTCCTGGACCGCTGTGTCATCGTCTACTAGGACAATATCCTCATATTTAGTAGGACAAGGAAGCAGCATCTCCGCGACATCGACGCAGCGTTTAAGCGGCTGCAGGAGAATCGCCTCATCACCAAGGGCTCTAAGTGCGAGTTTTTTAAGCAGGAGTTGGAGTTTTTGGGCCACGTCATTTCCTGCGATGGCATTGAAATTGACCTGGCAAAAAGTTTCTTCGCACCGCCGCCCCATCGAAGCTGTTCGAAGTTATCACCGATGCCTTGGAATTCGCCATCGGAGCTGTGCTACTCCAGGATTTCAGGAACGGGCTGCAGCCGATAGCCTACGAGTCACGCAAGCTGCATGTACCCGAGCGCAACTACCCGATTCACGACAAGGAGATGCTCGCCATTATACATGCGTTCAAACTGTGGCACTGCTACCTGGTGGGCGCCGACGTCACTGTTCGCACGGACCATGAGTCCCTACAGTATCTGTGAGCTCAGCCCAATCTCAACCCGCGACAAATTTGGTGGCTGGATTAAATGGAGAGCCACTTCACCTACCGCATCACGCATAAGAAAGGGGCGAATAACATCGCCGACGCCCTGACCCGACCGACAATTCAATTCGCTGCAGTACTCATCACCCATTCAAACCCATCACTTACCGGACTATTCACCCACGGCTACACTACATAACCGTTCTTCACAACTGGGAATCATCAGCAGACCACGACGCAGAAGGGAGATTATTACCTACAAGCCGGAACTGACCGAGTTTGGGTTCTCGCTTACCGGCTGCTACGTGAACTCCTTATCCAAGAGGTCCACGATTCCAACTTCTCCGGACATTTCAAGGTTGACAAAACCCAGAAATTGTTGCACATTCAATTCTATTGGCCTGACTCCTCTAACGACGTGCAGCGATATGTGTCCTCATGCAGGGTGTGCCAAGCCATGAAATCGAAATGTCAGCGACCAGCTGGGCTGCTGCTACCCCTTGAGCCACCCGAACGACCGTGGCAGCAAGTGACGATGGACTTCGTCACGGGGCTGCCAGCTGGACCGTCCGAAAATGACGCTGTTCTCGTTGTCGTCGATCGCCTAACGAAAATGGCGCACTTCGCACCGTGCCGTACTTCAATCGCAGCCGAAGAAACCTCGCGGCTCTTCATCTCAACGTTCGTGCGACTACACGGAATCCCGTCGGCGATCATCAGCCACCGGGACCCGAAGTTCACGTTGAAGTTTTGGAAGGAGACGTGGGTGCAGTACGGCACGAAGCTACAGTTCTCATCGGCATACCACCCACAGACGGCCACACCGAGCGAACGAATCAGACGATGGAGCAGCTGATACGAACAAACTGCCCTAACCCCGCTCGCTGGGAAAACTCGCTCGCCATGCTGGAGTTCGCATTCAAAAACGCCCTGTCCAGCACGACTAATCACTCCCAATTCTTCTTGAATTACGGGATAGACCCGGTGGTACCTACAACGACTACACTTGACAACCCGGTCCCACGGTCACAAACATTTGTGACGGACCTCCAGGAGATTCGCGAGAAGGCTGCGGAAGCAATTCGCAAGGCAAATACGACTTCCCGCAAATACACGGACCTTCTACGATGAGAAATGGTCATGACATTTGGGCAACTAGTGCTACTCGACACGAAGAACCTGCACCTACCCGGCCCGTCGAAACTACAGCCACGATTTTGTGGGCCTTTCAAGATCATCAAGATGGTGACACCCATCACCGTGAAGCTGCTACTACTCGATGACTAGCACATCCACGATGCCTTCCACGTCAGCTTACTTCGCAAGTTCGTGCCTGCCACGATAGACATTGCACGACAACCCGCTGCGCCGACAGACCGACCCGTCCCGGAACCGATACTCCACTAGTCCAAAATTTTGGCACATCGTCTTCGACTCGACGCAGCTGGACGACGCGTGGATTTTCTAATCCGTTGGACTAACTGCACCAGTGAGGATGACACGTCGGTGCCATCGGCCTCGCTTGCAACGTCCACGCTAATCGGTGATTACCCAGCCCGCAGACGGGTTGCGGATATCGACCACCTTTCTTAAAGAGGGGGGTAGTGTAAGGAATTTTCCTCAATTCCTTATTGGGGTTGTCTGCTACGCGTACAGCCCCAATTTTCGGACTCTACACGTTCGGCCAACATCAACGATGCCGAGGCTCCTCGCGTCGCCTTCGACTTTCTCGATCGCCAAACCTGCACGGCTCAACCGAGGTTTCCTCCTAGCTAGGCTAGCCCTACATTAGCGCGTGCCTTCATTGTATTGTCAGTTCGTTCAATCATAGTCTCATTATTCGTTAAAATGCGCACTCTCTTTCACAACTCATAACAAGAATCAAGAAGGTCACTAGACCTAGGGTGTTACAACTTACTACTGGGAAATCATGAACTTCCAACCATACCACTCACATACTTTGGAAAGCATGCTGTAACAAGGCCATTTGGCATGCTGGCACAACTGGCACAATTAGACATGCCAATCGTGTCACCCACAGATGCGCCTTTGTAAACGTGGAGATACGTACAAAATCACGCTCCTACAAGCTGCTACAATGGCTACAACTGGGGAGCCTCAAAATGGCTTCAATTGAGGTGCGTTAAAAGTTGACTAGACGCAATCATGACTGCGGGTGTAGTACATTCTTCAGTTCTCATCCATTAAATTGAGGCGCCGCAAGAGTCTGCTTCAACAAGCTGGCAGCAAGGCTACAGGCCAAGGGGATGTGTGAGCTTCCAACGAGCAGAGGCAGGAGAGGCAGTCACTGCAGAGCCATAGAGGACCTGAGGGGCGGGGCAGAGGGAGAATTGTTTTTGAGGCGCCTCAAAAGTGAGGCGCCTCGAATGCAGTTGGCAACACCACATGGGCATGAAAAGGCAGGAGAAGCAAGCGGTGGAGAGAGGTCGAGGATACGAGGGTGGAAGCCTGGAAGCGTAGGTAGAGAAGATGGGGACAACTGTCGGTCGTGGAAAGGTTGAATAGGCAGATGTGACAAAAGCGTGCAAAATGTGAGTATGTGTTTTTGATTCTACTCAAACATATGGTCAAGAAATGGTTAGAATGGGAAGATGTGACAAGGGTGTGTGGAATGCGAGTATGTGCCCACGCGCTAGTGCTCTTGCACATTTGAGGGTTGAGTGTGCGCGTATGTATGATTGTGTGAATGCGTGTATGCGGGTGCATGCAAGTGCTAGCATTTGTAATTCATGCATGCATGAATTTGTGCATATATTGAATGTGTGCATGAGTGAATGTGTGCATGAGTGAATGTGTGCATGCCTGAATGTGTGCATGCCTGAATGTGTGTGCATGCATGTATGTTTGCATGAGTGAATGCATCCATGCAAGGACCTTTGCATGCAAGCATGTCGTCCTAAGCGACTGAACCAGGGGGCACCAACTGAAGCACTGCACACAGCCCACCACTTTGTGACCTTCCCCTTCAGTCACAATCCATGGTGCATGCATAACGAGAGAGAGGAGAAGAGCAGTGGGCGACTTTTGAGACGTCTCAAAAGTCAGTCACAATCCGTGGTGCATGCATACAGAGGGAGAGGGAGGAGCAGTGGGCTCACCACTTTCTGGTCATCCCCTCCAGTTGCAATGCAGGTGTCATCAGGCGCCACTGCGACCTGCCGATGGAGGGAGAGGGAGGAGAGAAGGCAACAAACCAGCCGACATAGTAGAAAGATAAAGGAAAAGGCCGCAATTGTAAGGAGAAACAAACGCAGTCATCCACACTCGATAGAGATTGGATTCATAATGGATATGAATGGGGAGTCTTGTCAGTCACAATACTATAATATGGCACGTGGGCTGCTTTAATGCGTGGGCGTGGAATACATACAGTGTTGATGGATGCATTACAGTTGAGTATATCTCAGCGGACAAGCGACTCCGCCCGGCGGAGCTCGCTGCCCGCGGGCAAAAAAGAATAAAACCCATCTGGGCATGCATCCGGTCAGGGAGGCATCAACCCTAAACACCTGCAGGAATGTGTTTAGGGTTGTTGCCTCCCTTGGATCGCATACCATCCAATGGGGTTTTAGTTTTTTTCTGCCCGACTCGACCCTCCGTCGACCTGATTCCGCTGAGATATTCAGTGTTGATGGATGCATGCAGTGTTGATGGATGCATGCAGTGTTGATGGATGCATACAGCGTTGATGGATGCATACAGTGTTGATGGATGCATGCAGTGTTGATGGATGCATACAGTGTTGATGTGCGAGCAATTTGGCGTCGCATTTACAAAATTCGTGTGGACAATGCGTGTCGCGACGTATTTTCCAATTCGTGCGCGGACTTTTTCTTTTTTTTTTTGGCCGGGCAGCCCGGATTTTTTCGAACGAATGTACGTGCGTATTGCGTACAGCGTATATTCGTCTACGTATATACGCTGTACGCTTGCCCAGTCTGGCGACTTTTCCAACTTAGATGCATACAGTGTTGATGGATCGAGCGTGTGCGAAGGAGAAGGCAATGAGCGGGTCGGCCAGAGTGGCGTCCCAGACAGCCATGCTGCAAGGGAATTGGGGAATTGGGGAGAGAAGGAATGACAAGGAAGGGTTGCAATGCAAGGTAAGCAGAAGAGAGACGATTGATCATTTAGCCCTGGTCCCAGGAGAAGGCAATGGATGGCGTCCCACACAGCCACGCTAGCATGGCAGAGCAGGGCAGAGCATGAGAGCAGGGCAGAGCATTGATAAGCCCCACCTGCCATTGCCACTGGCAGTCACCAGGCCAGGCGAGGCAGAGAGCCAGCGAGCGTCGTTCACCCCCTCGTCCCCACAGTCCACAAAGCTGGGGGTGGGGAAGAGTGCGTGTATGGTAGGGTTGGGGGAGGAACGAGAGTCAAAAGTGGCGCGACACAGAGAGCCAGCGAGCGTCGCGTCGTTCACCCCCTCGTTCGTCCCCACAGTCCACAAAGCTGCGATGGGAAGCACTTATGTGGTGGGTGGGGGAGGGCAGGAAAGAGGGGTCAGCTACATGCTCCGTGCACCATGCGCCATGCCCCATGCACCATGCACCATGCACCATGCACCATGCACCATGCGCCATGCACCATGCACCATGCACCATGCACCATGCACCATGCACCATGCACCATGCACCATGCACCATGCACCATGCCCCATGCACCATGCACCATGCCCCATGCACCATGCACCATGCCCATGCACCATGCGCCATGCACCATGCACCATGCACCACCGGTGCCCCCTGCACCATGCACCATGCCCCCTGCACCATGCACCATGCACCATGCGCCATGCACCATGCACCATGCGCCATGCACCATGCACCATGCACCATGCACCATGCCTATGCACCATGCACCATGAGCCATGCACCATGCACCATGCACCACCGGTGCCCCCTGCACCATGCACCATGCACCATGCCCCCTACACCATGCACCATGCACCATGCGCCATGCACCATGCACCATGCACCATGCCCCCTGCACCATGCACCATGCACCACGCCCCCTGCACCATGCACCATGCGCCATGCACCATGCACCATGCACCATGCCCATGCACCATGCACCATGCACCATGCGCCATGCGCCATGCACCATGCACCATGCACCATGCCCATGCACCATGCACCATGCACCATGCGCCATGCCCCATGCACCATGCACCATGCCCCATGCCCCATGCACCATGCACCATGCCCCATGCACCATGCATGCACCATGTGCCATGCCCCATGCACCATGCCCCATGCACCATGCACGAAGCAGCATGCGCCATGCACCATGCACCATGCACCATGCCCCATGCCCCATGCGCCATGCCCCATGCCCCATGCGGCATGCCCCATGCACCATGCGCCATGCCCCATGCACCATGCACCATGCACCATGCACCATGCCCCATGCACCATGCACCGAGCAACATGCGACATGCACCATGCACCATGCGCGTATTCTGCACACGCCGAGTATTGCAACTTGCAGCATCCCACCCACCCCATGCATTCCTCCCTTGCCCGTCCCCTTCCCTCCTCGCCCCTCCCATCTCATCCCCATGCTGCACTGCATGCTCCATCCATGGCATGGGTGGGTGGGGCAAGAGGGGCCGGTACCACGCCCCATCACACACCACACCACACCACACCACACAACACCACACCGCACCGCACCGCACCGCACCGCAACACATCACCCCACACCAACCCACACCACACCACACCACACCACACCCCAGCACAGCACCCCACACCACACCACACCTTACCACACCACACCACACTCTCCTCCCGTCCTCGCTTGGGCGAAGCTGTCTTCGTGTTTGGGTGTACGGGAGGTACAGCCGACTTGCAGCAGTGGGCAATGCCAACCTGGGCAAGCTGGTCCATGGGTTTGGTCGGCGTGCACGAGGCCACTGCAATGTCGCCGACTTTGGGAAGCCGGCGGCCGACTTCAACTGGTGGCCGACGATGGGGCTCGTCGACCTGGATGTCGGCGCCAACTTAGGAGGACGTCGACTTCAGGAGATCAACCTGGATATCGGCGCCGACCTGGGGAGTAGCCGACTTGGTGAAGTCTGCTGGTGATGGTCGTCGACTTGGGTGGTCGACGAGCACGTACTGCTGGTCGACACCAACCTAGTGGTCAAATCGGCACCGACCTGTGAGGGTTTCCAGGTTGACCAAGTAACCAGGGCGAAGAAGTCAGTGGAGGAGCGCGACGGTCGCCCTGGTGGTTCTGGCGAAGCCGACCTCGGTGGTGGTATTTCGAGGTCGACGTGGCTGATCAGGTGCAGTTGATAGCACGTGGACGACCTGGTGCTCTGCGCTGTGCGGGTGACGCGGCACAGCACGCCAATCATCTGCGGGCACCTCTTGCGTGTGCAACGCTGTGCAGCCGACTTGCTGCGATGTTGGCACGCCGTCGACTTGCAGCGTTGGCAGGCCGCGACTTTGCACTGCTGGAGCGCAGTCGACTGTGCTGCGTTGGCAGTCGACGTGCATGCTTGCTAGCTCTGATGTAGTCAACCTTGCCAATGTTGTTGCTATCATTCTGAACTTTTGTTGCCAACTTTTGCAGGTGAAACTCTTGCCAATTCTCCCCGTGAATGTGTGCGTAGAGAGAACACAAGCAAACGACTAAGGAACGAACGCAGAGATCACCCCTACCCCGTGCCTACCCCGTAGACTAGCTCCCGTTGCTAGAGTTATCTCCGCATGGTGCGGTGAGCGTGGACGGCACTGCGACCTACCTTTCAGTCTATTTGACTTAGGTGCACTCTACCTATCTTGTTCTAGGCTGACAGCTGTGTTAGTGACTGTGGTGGGCGCCGTAGGTGACGCGGGTGCAGTGGATACCCTAAAGACACGGCTGGATGATGCGAGGAGACGCCACGCTGATGGCGAGTACGGGGAGACGCTCCCCTTGGCGGTCGTCGAGGCAGGCATCCGCACCGTGTGGGCAGCGGAGCACCTTTCTCGACTTGCCTCTCCTCGACCGGTGAACAACGAGGGCGGCGTCGACGTGGGCGTCAACGCCGGTGGTGACCAAGTCGGCAGTAGTGCGGGAGGCACGTCGAGGCAGAGAGGGGTGTTCCGGACGGCCGACGGCGAAGTCGGCGGCATTCAGGCTCGAGGGCTGCAGTCGTCGTCGGCTGATGGCTCCTCGCAAGGTGGCGTTGGTGGACGTCGAGGCAGCGTGACGCCGGCGTCGGCGACCCACGTGACTGCGAGCGGCATAGCATCGACCTACGGCTACTTCAAGTTCACGCCAGACAAGGTCGTTGTCACCGCCCTACTGGTAGGTAGGCACGACGTGCTCACGTGGAAGGAATCCATCGAACCCCAGCTGGAGATGGCCGGGCTGATGTGCTTCGCCGACGGCACCGTGGAGACGCCACCTGAGAACAACGCCGAGCTGCGTGCGGAGTTCCGTGCCGTGCAGCTCCTAACCTTCACGGTCATCTCGCGGTGCTGCTTACCAGTGGTGCAGATTGCGTTGAAGTCTTGCCGGCGTCACCTGGACGCCGGGCATCAGGCGTGGCGGTTTATCACGGCGACGTACCAGGTCACCGACGACCTGTACATCGGCCAGCTGGAGGAGCAGATGACGCACCTGCGGATGGGCGAGCAGGAGACGGCGACCGACTACTGCAACCGAGCTCGGCGTCTCTTGGCCTGCATGCGGATGGCCGGCGTCGAGTACTCGACGGCGTTGTACATCACACACGTCATCAAGGGTCTCCCGAATGGCTACAACCTGATGAAGCGGATGATGGTGGTGCCGGGCACGCGGGAGTCGCTCAACGAGGACTCCCTGACCTCGTTCATCCTCAGGGTCAAGGCGATGCAGGAGGCCGAGAGGTCCACGGAGCTCCTGCCGCAGGCAAACTACGTCGCCCCGACGAAGCAAGGAAGTCGACCGGGGCAGCGTGGTAAGCCTGGCGGCGGTGGTAGCGGAGGTGGGAAGCCGGCCAAGGACGCCGACAAGGGGAAGTCGGCCAAGGATGGCGGTCGAGGAGGAGGAAGTCGACGTCGAGAATGCTGGCTGTGCGGCGACCCCGACCACCTCTCCTTCGAGTGCCCCGACCGCACCAACTCCGACAACGACGACACCAGGGGAGGCCGAGGGAGGTCGGTCGGTCGTTGCCCTCGTCGGGAGCGTACGCCGCGAAAAGAGAAGCAGTCGACCAAGTCGATGTCGGCGAAGGTCGCCGACTCCTCCTCTGGCGGCAAGGGGCGAGGCGACGGGGAGGTGTCATGCTCGCTGGTTGGAGTCGTGGAGCCGACCGTCTCGCTGGCGCCGGAGGCCGGCGAAAACTTCCAGGCGGTGGCAGCAGCCGTGCAGGCGAACCCGGCGGTGGTCCTATCCGACAGCGGCTGCTCGCACCACTTGATGGGGACGAAGGAGGCCTTCGTCGACCTGCAGCTGAGCGGCGACGTCAAGTACGTGCGTGGCTTCAATGGGGCGCTTCAGGACGTCCAGGGACGAGGCACTGTCGCCCTGCAAGGGGAGGCCGGGAAGCAGGTGCTCATCCCCGACGTTCTTAACGTCCCAGGCGTGCAGGCGAACCTGCTTTCGGCCGGCCAACTGAAGGAGCACGGTGTGAAGCTGCAGGAAGGCAGCGACGGGATGCTGCTCGTTTCCGTGGCAGGGGACGTGCTTGGTCGGGCCAAGTACACCGGCCGGGTCTTTTGCACCGACTTGCGTGAGTGCCCTGAGACGCCGGCGTCGACGCTGACTGAGGTGGTGGCTCTGCGGGCGATAGTCTCAGCGACGAAGTCGACGCAGGCCAGATGGCACGCCAGGCTTGCGCATGTCGGTGTCGACACCATCACGAGCTCGGCAAAGCACGAGGTCGCCACCGGTCTTGACATCACGTCGTCGGCCAGCACCGACTCTCCGTGTGTCTCGTGCGTCGGTGGGAAGCTGGCGCGGCACACCTTCCCCGACAAGGGCTCGGACGCCGACGACGCTCTGGCTGTCGTTCACATCAACTTGTGCGGGCCGTTTGGAGTGGCTGCCAAGGACGGCAGCATGTCTTCTTGCTGCTGATGGACCGCAAGACCAGCTACGTGTGGGTGCGGCCGGTCGCCAAGAAGTCCGACGTGCTGCGGGAGTTCGAGAAGTGGCTGGTGGTGGTTGAGCGGCAGACGAAGAAGTCGGTGCTGATGCTGCGATCGGACTTGGGAGGGGAGTTTCTCGGGTAGGAGTTCACTGCCTTCGTGAACGGCAAAAGGAATCGTCCACGATTTGACCTGCCCCTACACACCGCAGCAGAACGGCATGGCGGAGCGGGAGATGCGGACGGTGGTGGAGTCGG